GTCAGCTTCACGCCCATGCGCCTTACCTCTAGAGTAAGAGCCCCGAGAACCCATTGGACAGAATCTGATTTATCCCCAGAGCCACTTTGGACGCTGTGGAGAGAAGGAAATACCCTGCCTTTGCCGAGAATCAAACCCCGGCTTCCAGCCTGTAGACAGTCGCTATACCGAATTATCCTTGATACAAATTTATAGCTGGAAAATCTGAAAGGAAGGCGCACCATTTGGGAGAACAGGTGTAGCTGGGAGAATAATAATAATATTAAAAAAGTTAATAAAAAATATGGACGGAGGACGTGGGGTGGATTTTTGTGGTTAAGGGTAGGGCCCAGTGGCTGGCTGCTCTGAGCGGCAATGAACTTTCACGGTACGTAAATGTTGAGAATTTGAGTCATTTCTACCTGACCAAGAAGTGCTGTAGTCCTTGGAGTTATTTTTGAGCGTTTTAATCTAGTCAGTTGACATGAGGTTTACTATGTTTCATTCGGGAAGACTGTGTAATGAAGGCAAGCAGGTGCCACTCAAACAGGTCTCTTGTTTACTGCCAGGCGGGGATATTCTTGTAAGCTTGGTTAACGAGATATCTTTATTTCTAAAGGAAAACAACAGACATATACAATTAAAGTAAGACACGTCCAGTAGTTTAATTTCAAATTTCTTTTGCCATTAGAACAATAAAGTGTTATGACAAATTTTGTTCATAATTTAGTAAGTCCTGTCCCAGCTCAAGCGGTTAGTCGCTGGCTTCCCACTGCGGGGGCCCGGGTTCTATCCCGGGTCTGGTCAAGTGGGATTTGTGGTTGAAGAAGTGGAGTTGGTGCAGGTTTTCTCCGAGTACTACGGTTTCCCCTGTCAATCTTCATTTCATCACTTGCTCCACAATCACCCTCACCTATCATCTGGGTCTGGTACAATAGGCCAGAAGTGGCCGCAGTGCAAGGGACTTAGTCCCACCCCACTAGCAGCAAATAAAGTCCTGTGCCTCCACCCATCTCTCAAGCGTTGCGTTGTCAGTGTTTATACAGACATAATGACGTAAGATTAACTATTCTGTATAGATATGGATCTAACGTTCTCTGTTTAGGGGTACTAGGAAGTAAGGGTTCTATCCCATGACCTCCCCCCCCCCGTTTGTCGACACTGTGACTGAAGAGTTAGTAAACTAAATTACAATTGTTGGGTTATGTAGAGGGAGGTCAGAAGTGTCTCCTTGTCTATGACAAGTGCGTGACACGCAAAGCAGCTTAATTCTAACCTCTGTCGCTACTTTCCTGTTCTAAGTGATCTGATGAAGTGATTACTGTACAGGAATCACTAGCCTCAACCGCTTCTGCTTTAAACATGTTAAGTTAATAGTAAAGGAGTGAAGTTAGGCGCCGTCTTGGATGTCGCGAATTTATTGAACACACGCTCTCACACTCACACAATTCGCAATTACAATTACTGCCATCGGCAGTATCACAATTACATCCACTGCCCTTGGCGACTGCTAGACTTCTGCTGCACTCGGCGAGTTCATGATCCGCACTGTGTCACTCCTAATCATACACTCTCTCTCACATACTGCTCAGCCGGCTTTTTATACCGTTCCCTGTTGCCTCGTGTTACCAGCGGTGTCCCATTGTTACGTCACAGTGGGAAGTGCTGTTACGTCACCGCGGGGAGGGGGGTCGGAGTGTTGACTGGCCTGTTACCGTAGCAGCGGGCATTGCTCCGATGCTGTTACGTCACCGCGGGGTAGGAAGGTGTCCTGCATAGCGCAAATACGTCACCATATGCATAACAGTATTAATGATATTGTTTCTTTGAATGTCCATAACTCTATGCAGAGCAAATGAGCCGCAGAAACAGCTGTTTCTAAGTAGTACACGCACGCAACAATATAACAATGGGGTTATGCAAACCGTTTCCAGGCAACGGCTCGGTAAACACGTTCCAACACGCAACAGTATAGGAAGCTTCGTTTTCTATGTGATCTGCGCCACGCAACAGTACAGTGCTCTTTTCTGTGCGTGGGCCGTGCCGAGAGGATGTAATATTCAGCGTAGTTCAGTTACGAGTGAATTGTCGGTGGGACATAACCACAGGAATTTCTTAGTTGAAGTACAATTGGAAGTCGGCTGTGAAGGCTTAATGTGTGATTGGAAGATTTAGTCGCAGGGAGTCCAGGAGAGTAGGTGAGAGTAAAGGGACGAGAATGGAGCATGTCTTATTGAATTGTGAAGAAGTGTTCAGTAAACTCAATCACCAAATCTAGAACCAATTACTAACAGTCACGGAACCCTCATACGTGAGAATACAACCCTGATAATATTATAAAGAAATGTAAGCTGATATCTTTATGCCCGTCGTTCACTAAATTGTTTGAATTTTTTGACGGATTATCATAAAAATTGTCATGAAGTTTATGTCACTACACCTCATATTTATTATTTTTAATTTCTTCCCATCAAGAAATACCAAACTGGCGGCCTTGTGAATATCTGAGTTGGTGTGATGGTATTGTAAAAATCTTCAAAAATATGAAAATTTATTAATCTAATTTTTGTGATGAATGTAAATCAAAAACGTTGTAAACGCTCAAGACCTACATTTGACTATTGATTTGCTGGTTATGCCTATTTAACCACTGGAGCTAGGAATTTTCATTTTGTATAACTCATATATATGCCTATAATTTCACTGTGAAATGCTGGATATACGCATATAAGTATGTTTACGATTATAAAGATGGCGACCGTGTGAAACATCTAGTCTGCATCTTTATACTATGATGTAGTTGGCACCTACACTACTGCATTAATGTGGAGTATTCGCTCCATGAAAGAACCGTCGAGTCAGAGAATTAGCCGTTGCTAAGTAAAATGCGAATGCCAAAATAGAACAACGGGGTTATATTACCTGTTTCTAGGCAGTGGCTCGGTAAACACACTTCCCCGTAGGCGATGACGTCACACAATAGTGGGTAGAAGTCACGTGACGCGTTTTTATATATGTCCAGCTGGCGCGCCAATGGACTGGTTGGATAGCGACCACGTGACGTATTTTCTATAGGTCCGCACCAAAGGTTTGTAGTAGCGCGTGTGCAACGTTGAACTGAAAGTGTGTTAAATAGCAGTGACGTTATAATTGAGAGTGATTAAGAGAACTTTTAACCGAAGTGACATTAAATCCAATCATCCGATATTGAACCCGTTATTTTAGTCATGCGTACCACCCTACACGTGACAATAATTGTTATTGCAGTTTTAATTGCGGGGCACGCGGTAGCGTAGTTGGTTGAGGCACTATGCTATAAGCGGGAAGGTCGCGGGATGGAATCCCGATGAGATGTTTTTTTTTTCAATTTACCTAATACTTCCAGCCGCACCATGGCCCTAGTGTTCGACTCAGCCTCTAACAAAAATGAGTACCAGGAATATTCTTGGGTTCAAAGGGCGACCGGCGAGTAGGGCTGACAACCTTGCCGCCATCTATGAGCCGATTGTCTAGAAAATGTGAGGTCCTCAACATCTCACAACCCTATGGACCTCCACAGCCTGTTACAGGGATATCTTTACTCGACTTTTTTTTTATTGTAATTGTATTTGCATTGCATTCATGTTATGTAGTGTGTCCTTTATCGTTTGTGTAGTTTTGTGTGCTGTGTTTTGTTTGAGCTTGGTGTGTTATTTTGTGTGACGTGTGTTATTTGTGTGTTGTGTCTTATTGTAGTACCACTGCCACCGGCTAAGAACCCATTTCCAGTTTAAATAATAATAATAATAATAATTGAAGTGCTGTTAGTTGAATATTCGCTGTAATCAGTAACAGAGACAGACGTTCTAATTAACGAACTGCGCAAAATAAAAATAGTTAAAGCAAATCTTGCACAGAAAAAGGCAGGAACATTGCCCCGACCATGTCATAAGGAGGCGCTGTGGGAGGGGGCGACAGCCTGTCTGGAGAATGATGGTAATGCTGCATGAAGCTGTTCTCTTTCTGTGCATGTTCAGACGTCTGCACAGACTAGTGTGGGGGAAAACTAAGATCTCTTCAATTATTGACTCATCGGACATTATCCATCATCCTATTTTTTTATTTAGTAGTGTTTTAAATTTTTTGTCTTTACCCCTGCGGATAATTTATGCTGTGTCTGATATACATATCCTAAGTTATATCCGGAGATATGGGCTGGTTACATCGATTGGGCCCAAATGAGTAAGCCTTACACCTGACGACAGACTCCAGTGTCCGAAACGTCGTTTTAAGTAAAAACAGGACGATGGATAATGTTCGAATTATTATGAATTTGTTTTGTTTCAATCTGGTCCGTCACACTAACAATTACAAAGGCAAAAAAATACCGTCTAATATGACTATTTAAGTTTTATCACTTGAGGATTTATCTCCCTTACATGTTTCGATCCTTATGGATCATCCTCAGAGGGTATCAATACTTTCGGAAACTACTATTACAATAGATGTTAATTTTATAGATGCAAGTATACATTTGATGTCTGAAATGCACAATATACGCAATGTTCAACCTTCCACGTTCACAGCGGCCTACATCTATTGTAATAGTAATTTCAGAAAGTATTGATACCCTCTGAGGATGATCCATAAGGATCGAAACATGTAAGGGAGATTAATCCTCAAGTGATAAAACTTAAATAGTCACATTAGACGGTATTATTTTTGACTTTATGTTCGAATTATTAGATTTTAAGAATTTTGGTTCCATATTTTGGGCTCGTGAGACAAAGATGATCAGAATTCATTGTAGGCCCTAACTTATTTAGTTCGGATATACCTACTGTGATCTGGGCCAAGCGAGGCAATGGGAGAAACCAATGTGAATTATATTCTGTTGTGAAAACATTAACCATCCATCCACTGTATCTCCTGCATTTTGTTCATCCACCCATCCAACCGCCCAGCACTCACAAGCATATCCGTGTACCATTCATACAAGTTCATTTTCTCTATAATGTAAGTTCCGTTTTTCTTTTCATCAGTTTCGGCTCTGGTTGCTGCATGGCTGTACACGGTTTAATGCATAAAGCGATCGCCATTCATCGCTGTTTATTTCCTTGACAACTGTGTAATGCATCGATGGATCACCGCGTTACTCCACTGCGGTAAGTAAAAGGAAATATATGTGATATCACGGTTTTTTTTAGAATATGAATGTAATGCAAGTGTACGTAGGAACAACTCAGTGTCTATTTCTTGCACAGCACTGAATTTCATATATCACTTAAACGTTTAACGTAGACCATATACTGATACGTATAGTTGCATGTGACACAATTATTTTAGTAGAGTTTGTGCTATGAAAGCCCTGGCGAAGAATGGGCACTTTCGGTAATTTATTTATCATCAGTTGGAATATATGTTACATAATATCTTTACAGCAATAAAACAAGTTTACAATTAATGTTTTAAAGAAACCTTAGGTGAAGAATAACTGCTTGCGTTACGAAGATAAATTTTAAACACGTTAAGAGTAACCAGTATTATATTGAGAACTATGGTACAGTTATCTTCAGTTAATTATCCTCCCGGTGATCGATGATTCGATCCGTTGATCAGCGTTCCCCATTCTGTCGACGATTGCCAATGCGCCTGCGCTGGCGAAGTTTACAAGCGCAGTCAAATCAGTCAGCCTTTGTGTCAGCATGGTAGTGCAATATTATTAATATTCATTGTTTTTCAACATATTTTGAAGCCTTTTGAATAAAATTAGTGAAATTATGGGCACTACAATGAAAAGCAAAGGAAATGCTAAAATAGGATTTGTTAACAGACTGATCGCCAGTAGATTAGGTTTCACGGAACTAGTTGACGCTGATTAATGGAGGATGACTGTAGTTTTTTTTCCTTGGCACTACAGCCCCCGTGGGCCTAGGCCTACCTCCATGAACTTCTCCGTTCACTTCGGTTTTTTTCTAGATCTTAAACATTCGGTATGACTCCTTGGGCGGGTGATCAGCTCGTCGCAAGGCCTCTACCTGTACACAAACACAGAAAAATGCACACACACATACTAAACATCCATGCCCTGAGTGGGATTCGAACCCACGATCTCGGTTTCCAAGCGAGCGAAGACAGTGCATGCCTTAGACCGCTCGGCTACCATGACCGACGGATGACTGTAATTAAGTACCGTAATTCAAGTCAGTGCTTTAAAGAACTAAATATTCTTAGTTATCTTCTGCTTTTCTAGGCAAATGTTTTATTAAACTTCGAGTCACTGAGAGTAAAAAATGTTGCATAGCACTACCTAATGTAGAGCTTATGCGTCGGTAAACACATTCTCGAGGTAACGCAGTAACCAGTAGGACCTCCGTTGCCAGGTAACAAGTTGCTAAACACAAGAATTCCGAGACAACGCGTTCATGAAGTACAGTAGTGGAACCCTCGGAGGCGGTGATTTCTATTCGGTCCGCGTGGTATATATAACAAGTAGTGAATTCGTGCATTCAATGCAGCCAGAGAGCAGTGGGAGATTCTTGAGACAGATCCGTCAGACAGACGTTGTGCAGAAGGAGTTCTCTGTGTGAGCTGTTATAATTGACTGTAATTGTAAAGAAATGCCAATAAACCCAATCATCAATTCCAGAACCCACTATTATTAGTCACGCCAACCCCTTTATGTGACAGTACTCTTGCAGGATTATCATGAAAGGACAGACGACCACAGTTAATACTAAAAAACAAAAACAAACTCCGTGACTTGAGTCGGCAAGCGAACTATACAGACAAGAGACAGCCGCTTGTCGGTAAAGCTAGTAACAAATTTAGCGGATAGAGGGTGTCGCGTGGTTAGCGCAACGAATCACCACGATCGTTAATCCCGGTTTTCAAGACCAAAGCCTCTAATTTTCTATTCTAGTAGCTCCTCAGTTATCTTCACGAGGCTGAGTGAACCCCGTTCCAGACCCGCTACTTCTCAGAAAATCTAGTAGCGCCGGGAATCGAACACGGGACCTGTAGCCAGGAACTCTGACCAGTGGACCACAGAGGCGGTATACAGATTCTAAACATAAACCTTTATCATGCGAAGCACACCTGTTAGCCCTTGAAAGCATAATAGCTACTGTATATACAAACTGCTTTAACATTCATAAAGTCTGTTTTTTCCCACAGAGTGTATTCATATGGTTCCTATGGTTCTCGAGATAAACAGCGACCACTAATATTTCCCTAAACAACACTAACCGGTTGGGCTTTGTAAAGGACATTGTTTTTTTTTTCATGCAGCAGGTTCTGAATTTTGAAAAATTATTTAGGTCTATATAAATCTGAGACTTCAAATGCGTAAACTATTCAATCGTAACGTTGGGTTAAATTGGCCTATGGCGGTAAGTTATAGCACAGTCTTAGTGCGCCATAGCTCAAGCGGTTAGTCGCTGGCTTCCCACCGCGGCGGCCCGGGTTCGATCCCGGGTCTGGTCAAGTGAGATTTGTGATGGACAAAGTGGCGTTGGGGCAGGTTTGCTCCGAGTACTTCGGTTTCCCCTGCCAATCTTCATGTCACCAATTGCTCCACGATCACCCTCACCTATCACCTGGGGCTGGTACAATAGGCCAGAAGTGGCCGTAGTACGAGGGACTTTGTCCTGCCCCACTAGCCATAAAAAATAGTACATGGAAGCGTGTGACGTAATGGAAGCAGTGACTGAAACACCAAAAATAACTTGTTGCACAATTGATGAAGTCTGCACCAGTAATTATAAACATAAGAAGAAAAATCGTTGATGCCATATGTTTCTGTATAAATGAAGGAACCTAACATAAAAACAAGGACATAAGGTCTGTGGTCAGGTAGCATGTGACGTCAGCTAAGCCACCTGCTGATGTCTCTGACTGGTGGTGACATCTGGCCTGTCAATTTAGAACAAAACAGCAGCAATGACAAGAACAACAGTAATAAATATACTGTCCCTTGATGAGAGTTTAAGAGATACACAAACATCGAGAATAGCATAGAAATTATTTTCTCTGTAATAAGAATAATTTCAGATAAACTTGTTGAAGGTAACAAACTAATTAACTCTATGGGACAGTTTCTCTCTTGTGGGCCTAATAGTCTCTCAGCTACTCAAGAAATTGCGGAACCAGGAGTTTCATTGGCTTGTTGCAAGTCACATTAAAGGTAAAATTAAAGTCGATATAAAAGCAAACTGTTTCCCCTCTGCGATGATATATGAACGATTTGTTGGAAGATTATGTTATGCTGCCGATCGGCTACCTGGTGATACAGGAACTGTTCTAACATGTCAAGGTATACGCGGCCAGATGCTGTAGCTTCATCGAAGAAAAACGGAAATAAAATTCTTTAGGTTTTTCTGTCATCTAGTGATAATTATAATCCATAATTAATCCAATTTTTTCTCAATGATTAAATAAAACGTGGGATGTTTGAACGGAACAAACTGTATTTCTTGCTACTTGAAAACATAACAAAAACCTATCAAGTTGCCACTTCCCTTTCTATAGTACGTGTGGGTTTTTAACCTTTTAAAGACAGAATTTCTACTAAATAACATATAAGAAATCGTTTGTTTTTTTTCCTCACAGGAAACACATTACATCTCTAGCTAATGCTGTTTAGGGGAAGATTCTCTCTCTCTCTGTTGGGAGAAAAAATCGAAACATACGAATACACTCTCCGAGATGAGATCAGATATTCAGCACATTGAAGCAGGTGGCACATATAGAAACCACTGGACTTTAAAGGGTTGATTTGTCCATGGACAAAGAAAATAGATGATTTGCTTGGCAGCGACACTTTATTTAGCTGAGAGGCAATTGAAAACTACTGCATGACTGCAAGGCGTCAATTCCAGAGGAACACAACTTAAATACTTACAGCATTTGAAACCCTTGTCATACCTCCCATTGAAAGCGCCGGGATAGCGTATTCGGTATAACGACTGGCTACCGGCTGGACGACTGTGGGGAGCGGAGTTTGAGTCCCGGTAGGGTCAAGAATTTTCTCTTCTCCAAGTCTTCCAGACCGGCTCTGGGGCCAAACAAACCTCCTAACCAACGGTACCAGGGTTTCTTTCCCGGGGCTAAAGTGACCGGGGCGTGAAGTTGACCACTCACCCCCAACTAGTGCTGAGGTCAAGAAAATGAGGATCTATACATCCACTCCCCCATACGTCTTCATGGTGTAGTGCTTAATTAGTTAAGCAAGGGACAACTGTGCCTTTTTTTACCCCCTTTTTATATTGTGGGAGATTTGATTTTTTCACGGCGGTGGAAATTGATATTGTGGTTCAGTTTATGATGTCGTATTGTACCGTAACTGGTTACCAACGTTTCGGATAATTTTTCTGCCTCCATATTCAAGGTAGAGTATGAAAATAGCAGGACACTCCGAAATGTTTGTAAACATCTATGATCCTATAAAGTTGCATTACTCACACTTTCACATCCTAAACCATCTTACAATGATTAAATATTTATTTTTCCCCCTCCATTTCACTGTCATTCTAGAAGAATGAAAATGCGAGCAGTCGCCCTTAAAGAGTTGGAGGTCGAATGTAGATGGCTGAACTGCGCAGAGCCGCACAACCTGGTGAAGCAGAAGTCACAACTGTTAACAATATGTAATGTATGCAGATACTACATTTGAAAGTCAACTACAGTCAGGCTTTTGCGACGTGTGCCCATCAGTAGGCGTGGTTACGTGCAACTCTCGCGTCTTCTGTTTCCAACGTTCTGATATGATCTACATATATTGTTTGAAGTCACGGGGCGTGATGCGTGTTTGAGAGACATGGGTTCAGCCGTACCTCGGACACTATATATATATAAAAGTAAATAAAGTAAAGTAAAGCTACCCCTGTACCAGGCCGTGAAGGCCCATAGGGTTGTGAGACGTTGAGGGTCCCACATTATCTAGACAATCGGCTCAAAGATGGCGGTAAGGTTGTCAGCCCTACGCGCCGGCCGCGCTTTACTCCTCAGGAAACTTATTTAATTAATTCCTGGTTCTCATTTCTGTTAGAGACTGAGTAAACCCCAGGGCCTAGTGCGGCTGGAAGGATTAGAATCTAATCATTAGATCAACTGAAAAAATCCAATGACCTCATCTAGTGTACATGAAAACACACACTAGTGGTAA